CTTTTTTGTACATTAAGTTCAGCTGCCTCCTGTCTCCAGAGTACCATGCCCAGGATCGATATTGCTTCCCTCTGTCATATGAATGCCCTCAGTTCTTGCTGAAGCATACCACTTAATCTTTCAACACTTTCTTCGTAGCTTGGAAACACTTGAGGTGCTGACAATTTGCTCTCTCTAGCAATCTATAGCACTGGGTGAAGCCCTTTTTAGAGTTTGTAGTGGTAAACTTTTCACAGATTTGCTGCCTGTTCATATTTCTAGGCCATAAGTATACAACTTACTGATTTTTTTGACCTCTCACCTATTGCCAACTGCAAATCTTCTCCAGATAGAATAACTGCCTCCTGCAGGTGTGAGGTACTGGGATTTGCAGTCCTTGCAGGCACGGGTGGTTGAAAGGCTGATATCATGCAAGTCAAAACTGAACCAATTAGTTATCATCTCCCCCATTATTTCAGCTAACTTGGTTTCTTTCGGGGTTGTTTTATTTTGTTTCCTGCTAAGGACAGTGGAATTAAGTATTTTTGCTCAGCCTTTCCACAGGCAGGAACCAGTCCTGCCTGCCTTCTGTCTGAGCAGACATTCAGGACCTTCCAGGAAGCTGCTACCCTTTCAAAATTTAGTTTGGATGTGTCTCCTTAATTCAGCTTTCGTGCTTAAGACTTGCCTGACAGATTGTGCTTTGCCCTGGAGATCAGTAGCACTGGTGAGTTCTCCTCTTTTACGTTTTCAGGGACGCAGGAAGAAGGTACCCCTCCAAATAGGCTCTGCAGTGTACATACTGGGGACTGTTCCTGTGCACAGCTGACGTCTATTGGCAATGAATACAGTAATTGATACTAGTGTAATAACCTGCTCTGGCAGTGACAGTTTTCATCTATTATTGCTTAGCACAATCCTCCTTGTTCTTTTTTGCATGCTTCATGGTACAACTCCCCTGGATGCCTTTCTCAACCCTGCCAAGGACAAAGCCCCTTGCTTTCATCCTTGCATTTCGGCTTTTGAAACACTTTTTGATTGTAGCCTTTGTATTTAGGCCAGTGTTTAGGTATTTGTGCCACTATCCATTCTTCACAAGCACCAATGAATGAAGTAGGAGGTTGATTACAGCTGATTCCCCTCTTTCTACCCATTTGTTCACTGAGTGAGAAGCGTTGTCTTGTGCTGCATCATGAATGCAATTTTCATGAGCTCCTCAAGGCTGCTTTCAACACTGGAAACTGGGCCAAAGGCAGGTAGTCTTTTTTTCACTCGTTATTTTCCCACAAAACAGGTAAGATCACTACAGAGTATCTGAGAGGTTTCTGAACAAGTGCTAGTTCATCTAGCACTAGCATCAAGTTCTGCCATGCACAAAAGTATAGTTTCATTTTCCTCCTCCTCCCATATGTAACTTCAAAAACAATTACACAAACCTGTGGTGCAGTTCAGTGACCTTTTAAGCTCTTTTTCAGGGCTTCTACCATGTACTTGTACTTCCTTCTTTCTGAGATTGTGACCACTCTAAGAAAAAGTTAAATTTAATTGGCACAAGCAGAAGGTAAAACTAACGTCTGCTCATCTTTATCCATGAAGTCATTCCGCATGAAAACAGTAACCAAATCCTGTGTGCTACAGTGCACCCCATCTTTATTTTCTGTGTTAAACACCTCAATTATCCCCCAAATTATAAGTTTCTCTTATGCTGATTGTCTAATGACACTGCCCATTTTAATAAAAATTAAACTGCAAGCTCTAAAGATATTGCTTTACTTCAGCTGTGCTACAGAGCAAAGGGAGGACTGCTGCCTCGACAGGAGGCCAAGAGGAGCAGACAGGCAGCCCTGTCCATGAGGTGGGCAGGCTCACCTTGTGATCAGCACTCCACTCGGGAGAGGAAGAGGAAGTTGACAGAGACGGGGTTAAATGAACTCTTCCTCCAAGGGAGGTCAGGCAGCACACGAAGGCTCTGCTTCAGGGCAACACAAAATTAGGAAGCATTGAACAATTTGTTTGGGAAGGGGGGGATGCACTTCCACAGCAGTTCCAGCCAAGCCAAGTCTGGGCTATCATCTGAGCCATGTGTTTCTTTCTGCACTGACCTCTTGCACCTGAGTTGGTAATTGTGCAACTGTGTGGTGTACTGGTTCAGGGAAATGAAGTAAAGGGGTCTTAACCTTACTAAAACACTGATTTGCCTTCAGCTAGGTCAGTCTCCTGATCTAGCCCATCATGCAGTCATGGGCTAATGTTGTTACCAGAAAGAGAGACAACAGGGGAAACATGCAGCTGCAGATGGAGAGAAAGGTGAGACCACAGCAGCCCAAGCTTTAATCAGCTTTAATTTCTGTGGAACCACACCTTTAGTCATTCAACTGAACTCACGTTGTTCCTTAGTGTTATCATATCTATTGGTTTTAATACGTTTTTTATATATTCACATACAAGTCAGGAAAAAAACCCAAACCTGTGTCTCATGCTGTGAAAGTGTTGGAATTAAACCAGTCATGTTTGTTTGATACTGCTTGAGCTGGTCCACAAAAAATCAAGACTTGCAAAATCAAGACTCCCGTTGTTAATGTTCAAAATCCAGCAATTACTAATGCTAAGTCACATATTGCATTGCTATCCATTTTGATAAGACTAACTTCCAGCAAGCAAAAAAACCTCACAAATCTGTAATAAAGGTAGATTTACACACTAGACTCTCCTGGCTCTGTATTCGCTGCCAGTCTCACATCAAAGAGTTGAAAGAACTGTCAGAGAGCTTTCCTGCATAAAAGAACAATCTCTTCTGCAGTCATAAGCCCCGCTGTTTCTTTCATATAAATTCAGTTTCAGAATTGACAGAATTACAGGCTGATAAATAAAATCAGAAAAATAAGTGAATAAAAATAGATGGGGAAGAAAAAATATTTTCCCATCAAAGCTCAACATTAAAGACATGAAGGTTCAAGAAGGCTGGTAAGATAGCAGGAGCTGAAAAAAAATGCCAGACACACTCTAGGTCAATACCTCACTACAGGTGAGTGAATATTTTGCAGATTCCTGAATTTCTGAAGGCTGTGTAGAGCCATCAATGGCTACATAGTTTGGCCCTTTTGTATAGAGTAATCTATAGAGATTTGCCTAGTTGTTCCTTCTGCAAGCACATAATTTTTCATTGAACTAGAGCACATGTTTAGAAAAGGCCTCTAGGACTGATTTAAGGACTTCAAGTGATGCAGAACCACTGTGCCTCTAGAGTGATGTTGTGGTTTAACCCCAGCCGGCAACTAAGCACCACACAGCCACTCGTTCATTCCCCCTGGTGGGATGGAGGAGAGAATCAGAAGGGTAAAAGTGAGAAAAATTGTGGGTTGAGATAAAGACAGTTTAATAGGTAAAGCAAAAGCCCCACACGCAAGCAAAGCAAAACAAGGAATTCATTCACTGTGTCCCATCAGCAGGCAGGTGTTCAGCCATCTCCAGGAAAGCAGGGCTCCATCACGCGTGACAGTGACTTGGGAAGAAAAACGCCATCACTCCTAATGTGCCCCCCTGCTTCCTCCTTCTTCCCCCAGCTTTATATGCTGAGCATGACGTCACATGGTATGGACTATCCCTTTGGTCAGTTGGGGTCAGCTGTCCCAGCTGTGTCCCCTCCCAGCTTCTTGTGCACCCCCAGCCTACTCGCTGGTGGGCTGGTGTGAGAAGCAGAAAAGGCCTTGACTCTGTGTCAGCACTGCTCAGCAATAACGAAAACATCCCTGTATTATCAACACTGTTTCCAGCACAAATCCAAAACATAGCCCCATACCAGCTACTATGAAGAAAATTAACTCTACCCCAGCCAAAACCAGCACAGGTGATTGTTCCAGTGGCTTCCCAACCTCAGGGTCAAGCATTCACATTTCCAGATGGAATGTGTTTGCCTTTAGCTTGCAAGCACTTATGGAAGACTTCTATCCCAACGGGTTTCAAAGCTTTTCAAAAGTTTTAAAATGCATTTATACAGAAAATTGTCTTCCACATCGTCTTTAAATGCAGCCAATTAGATGGTGAGACACCAGCCTTTCCTCCACCATGCAACAGGTCTACCTAGCACTTGAGCTAGATACTCAGGAAACAGCCAGAGCTGCCAGGAGTAAGGGAAAGGAGGATTTAGGAAAGTAGAATGCACTTAAGAAGCTAGTAAGTTTCATAGTGCTAATGTAACACTCATAAGCCTACAGAAAAGCACTTTAGGCACAGAAATGAACAGTTCTGGTCAGAAGCTTAATATTGGCCTTACCCAAAAGATAATAAAACACCAGCTGCTGGCTGAACTGTAGCAACACATGACAATTTCAACCCTTTGATGTTTCTGGTACCCTTGCTGCATGCTGCAGTGAAGAGCTTTTACTGAAAAGCGTCCCTTGCAAGTTGTCATCCCAGGGTGGCATCTTTCGCATGACAACCTCATATCTGATAGCCTAGCTTGGGCAGCGCAGTGACACAATTAATGAAGGCACAATCTTCAGTAATATTTATCCAGTAATTGTACCTTTTGTATGTGTCTTCAATGCGAGTGACTGATAAAGCCAGATCTCAGATGTTGTTATCCAGCCATGACTTTTAAGTGTGATTTCACAGCATGTAATTCATCTGAAGAGGCTGTTCTATTACTGTCATCATGGACACAGCTGAACCCCCATTACACTAATAATAATGTATGTTACTACGAGATCTCTCTTTTAGTGTCTCAGGAGGAGGTTATCTCTCTCAATTAAAGAGCAAGGGTTAGGTGTGGAAAAAGAAAGAAATACAGAGAAACAAGGATCAGTGTGTCTCTTCCCTGGATTTTATGTTTTTCATTTGTGCAAATGATCCAGAAAAGGCCAGTGCCTGGGAATTAAGTTTATTTTAAGAGCTCTCAAATATGAAATCAGTAATTGGTTTGAAAGAAAGTTACAAAAAAAATCAAGCTGTCATTTGTAGCTCACTGAGGCCCTGCTCTTTGAATCTGTTTCCAAGAGGTCTGCACCCACTCTCTTTTTGCTTCAGTGTCCACCTTGCAGGCTCTCACTCGTGGAAGCAGGGAGATAGAGATTGTGACCATCAGCATCAGTTCCCTCAAAGACGTAACCGGGTGGGTGTTTGTAAGAGGCCAAGCATCTAACAGTGCCCTTTGGTGTGTAGCTGGTAGCATAGATGGTTTTAGCATCTAGCAGAGTGTGATGCTTTGGGCCTGACCAGCCAGGTTTATAGCTCTTCGTAACTGTGAGCGGATGAGGCACATAATGGGTCTGAAAGGTAGTCAAGAAATCCATTGGTTTTGCTGGGAAAGTCAGCTCCGGAACACAAGTGATAGGTTTTAGTCTCTTGCACAGCCAAGGCTTATAATCTTCCTTCATTGTAGAAGAGCTACTGAATGGCTCAGTACTTATTTTAAGCTGGGCCAAAGTTTGACACATCTTGGCTGGCTTGCCATTTGGGTGCTTGTAATGTATCTGAGTAGTGGTGTGAAGGTCCATTTTCTCCAGAGGAGGAAGATATACATCAGGTTTTTTGGTGAATACAGGAGGCCGTGGCCAAGCTTGGTATTTTTCCTGAAACTCAGTTGTAGAGGAAAATGGAAGATCATGGAGAAGCTTCAGCTTGCATGGTTTTGCCAGCTTGGCTGGCTGACCAGCCAGCCCCTTGTAAGAAACTTTGTGAGTAGTGAGGCCATCGAATGGGACCTCATTGACCTTGTATTTCTCGTATTTGTGCATATAATGTTTCTCCAGAGGATGTGGCACATAATTCACTCTATAATTGGTTATATTCTCAAAGGGAGCCTTGCTTTTCTGGACCAGATTCAGAGGTTTGCAGCTCTGAGTGGCAACTGGCCCCCTGTAGAGATAGTCATCCTGGACAATGGTTCTGTGGTCAAATTTTTCTTCTGATGGGTGAAACCTGTCATTTGGTCTGATCAGCTCTGTCTTTGGTTCATTCCATAGCACGTAGTCACCTGAAATGTAAGAGGAATCCTATCTAAGTGCTCAACTGAAGTTCTGTGGTGAGTTTAGGCTTATACCATATTATGTTTTGATTATTACATTTTCTACTGTAATAAATATTTGTTGATGCTGTAATGATTGACAAATCCTATTAAAAGAGCTGCTGTTAGAACACATTATACACTAGTGTGCTAATCCCTGGAAATGCTTAGCATCTACACAGGAAATGGAATGAAAATAGTCCTGTACCCACACCTACAGATGGTGAAATACAATGTGGGAAGATTAAATTACATTCTCAGTCTTGCAGAGACATTTTCTGCACGTGACTGAGTGGGTGCTATCCTCGTGCTCAGTCAGCCAAAAATCATGAACGTGGAGTATCATGACACTGACTTCAACCCCCTTCATTTACCTTCCTGCAGCTATGTTGTGGCTGGCTCAGAGCACAGGCAGAGTATGACTGTGTCTGCAGAAGGCTGTTCAGGTGTCTCCCACAGTATCTCTGGGGCAAGGAGGACCAGATGTCCACCATTCCATTCTGAAGGCCAAGTGGCAGAGCTACCCTTCCTCTTTGCACCTTCTCGTCTGGGGATGACCTGATTCCTCAGCCGCACAGATGTGATGCTGCCTACTGTTTGCTGACTTCAGGGTTTTGCAGCTCATCTTGGTGCCAGCAAGCTGTGCTGTGTGGCACCTCCTCGGCTCTTGGCTTTGCTCTCTGTGGTAGTCCTGCTGTCAGTACACGCAGCAACTGAGAAGTAGCTTGTAACTCTGTCTCCAATTCTTCCTTATTAGAAAAACTATGCTGGAATTTGTAGATCAAGCCTACACTGATCTTAAACATTGAATCATGTTGCAGAGATGGTCCATACCCCAGAAATCTTGCTGACTAAGAAAACAGTTTAGGTGGCATTTTAGAGACATTCCTATCTTCCTTCCTTGGCAGGATACCAGGAAAAAAAATGAGGCACTGAGACTTAAAAAGATTTGCACTCAGTCACTCTAGAAATCTATTGTAAAGCTGCCTAGCTCTCCAACCAGTGCTGCAGCCACAAGACCATCAATTTTTCCCTTCCTACTAATCCTGTGCAACTTCCCCTAGAGAGCATTATGGTTACTGGTAGGAAGTTGGAATGAAATAGTTTTGGAGCTAACCCAAGTCTTTTTTTTTTTTCTCCACTTTTCCCTCCTTTCAAACCACACTGAGAGTCATGAGGCAAATAAGCTTGCAGCTGACTCTGCACAGGAAGGAAGTCTGGATTTCAAAGTACTAGAGAGTAAATGATGCAATTAGGTATCAGGATATTTGAACTCTCCAATCCAAACAGTTGTTCCTTTTGAATGGCAGTGGCTATTGTACTGCACAAACACAATTACACAAAGGATGTGTTCATTACAGTGTGAAGTTGACCAAAAAAAAAGTAACTTTTTGCCCCAATTAGGTGTTCATTTAAAGTCCTTCTGGTTCAAATCAAGCCACTGCCTTTTGCTCTGCCCTGGCACAAGAGAGGAAGCAGCAGCCACAGGCGACGTGCTGCTCCCAGTGAGCACCCTGGCCCTTGGGTACCAAGCTGCCCTCGTGCCACTAATTAGTGTAGTCAGCTGAGAACATGGGCCTGCCTGTGTGCACCAACATAGACATTCATTTGCCACTGTTGGTGCCACTGAAGCCCAGGCTGCACGCCCTGCTAGTGCCAGGGGTGTTTAAATGACCCAGGTGCTCCTGTTTCTCTGGGGAAATAGAAGATGTCCAAGCATCACTGCACTGGTGGGATGCTGACCTTGTGCCCATGCCTAGGGTACATCATTTTCCTGGAGAGATGGTCCAGCAGGGTGAACCACAAGCGTATATGGACACATGTCATTACAGGCAATGTATTAATAAAGTGTTAAAAAGTGAGAAGCTAATGAGATTCAGCCCATCTCTAAGCAAGGGCTCATTCAGAGATCTGACATTTCAGATGCCAACCAAGAGTTACCAAAAAGCTTTTTAGGTTCTCCCATCATCTTTGCTGGAAAATAGTCTGTGCATTTTGGATGTAACCACAGCTTTTGCAAAATATTCAAAATATGATAAGCAAGTCCATCTGTCTTCAATTTTAAAAATTTATAAGCTCTACACATTTGGAGACCTCATAGGCGTTATGAATTTATTTTACTTACTGTAAGCCAGCAGTGCTACTATTCCTTCAAAATGAGTTACAGTTTTATTGTAACTCTAATTCTTCTCCCATAGATATTAATAGTTTCCCATGTAGCACAATCTTGAAAACATTAGGGGGTACAGGATGGAACGGAGGATATGAACCATATGTTACTGGAGGGTTAGGTATATCTCACTATAACCAAGCAAGACAAAACTAAAATTAGATTACGTACCTGCAGATAGATAGAAACAGCTATGTGTGTAGCTTGGAGGAGATGAGAATTTTGAAACCTTAAGTTGCAAAGTCATCTGACATTAACTGTTATATGCAATAGCACCATCTTAAACCTAGAGTGCCATGTGGGATGTGGTGTGTTTAGTGCGAAGGAGTATGACAATACAGTAGGAAAGGTAATTTAATGCCAATGCAGCACTGTTTTATATGCTGCTTAAATATGTGAATTATGATAATTAATTGAATAGCATGTTTCAAAATTTCACACTTGAGTAGTGATCAGTAAAACCTAGTAATGCTTAGAGAATAACACAATGAAAACTTGTATTTTTTGTGAACCTGGACCTTTAAAAGGGAATTCATTCAATATGCAACTTGATCTTTGAGGAGAGGGTTTGGATAAAGATTTCCATTTGCAGTGTTTTGAAAAATACTGCAAATTATAACCAAATGTGGCTGTGACACATTTTATTAGAGCTCTGGAGTAACAGTTAAGGTGCTGACCTAAACACTGATAAAAGACAAAGATATACATCTGGTTCAGATACAAAGAAGTTAAGGATATCTAAACACAGAAGGAAAGATCCTCTGCTTGCGCAAAGCAGCCTTTTTGGCTTCACTGAAGCTATTCCAATGAATACCATCTGGTGACATTGCCTATGCAAAACAAAGTGTTCAAAATTGTGTAAACGTGGGTATTTTGCACCTGTGGGTCATAGTCTTCATGACTCAAGTCATTCTAAATGGACAGTGTTTCCTGTGTGCTTAATGTAAAAATTCCAGTTTATGTCATTGCAAACATGCAGCTGCACTAAAGTCTGACTTTCAGTCATTTCAGCTGGGTAATCTTAATGCTGCATTCACATACCTTTTATTTCCTTACTTCCTTTTTTCATTTTGAGTTTTCAGAATAAAAATCGTTTCTGTACATTGGGACAAATCTCAATGCCAGCACCAATCACAAGCTTTTATATTTGCACAGCATAATAAAAATAAAATAAAATAAATAAAAATTATTTTAAGAAATACACAAATGCTAGCTATCTGCCCAGCAATGTTAGCTAGCTGGAAGGTTTGCAGAGGGGAGGCAAAATCCTCTGATTTTCTACTTATGACTTACTACCAAAATTAGCACAGTTACTGTAACTGTGTTACTGAAAGTTTCTCCCAGTGCATGCAGAAGAGAATTTGTGCTGGTGGAGAGGAAGAAACAAAACCACCTACACCAAGTAACTACTACTGAGAAACTGCTACTGTGTCCGTAATTTCCATATACGTCTCTTGCACATCCACAGGTTAACTCTGCGGCACAGGCAAAAAGGGTCCCATGCTTCATGACCTGCTCAGACCTAGCAAAGTCTACATATTTTAGATGTGTCTGATCCACTGAATGTGCGGACCAGCCCTGCAGTATACCAAGAGTGTGTTCAGTATATCCTAAAGATACTGCTGCTGGACCCACTTGCAGGAGTTCCCATGTCCCTGCTTCTACCTAGGATGCCTGCAGGCCTCTCAGACATGCAAAGGAGGTGAATTCAGAGAGATCCCAATGCTACCATTAATGTGGGGCTGTATTCCAAACAATTTGTGTCTGTCTGGTTCCTGCATAACTTGTTGGCGTACATAGACAGAAGGAATTACAACTGCACACTGTTTTGATCTGTCTTCTTAAAAATGAAGCTACTGGTGAAGTCCTGAAAGAAGCTGCAAGGGCACATACCTTCATAAGTGGTTCTTGTATCCATCTTGGCGCTGGGGATGTGTCTCGTCACATGGGGGAGGCATGGAGGTACTTGAGAGATAGGGTAGGAGTTATAATCTTGTTTATAAGTGGAGGTCAAATCCATACTCTCATCACTCTTGACATGCTTTTCAGGTGGTTTAAGTTTCTGTGGCAACACTTCATGAGCTATGTAATCTCTCCTGTGAAGAATAATTTAATTATGTCTTTTGTCTTAAGGAAAAATTTATGTTCCTTTTTCTGGACACACAAAGAAATGAACACTTCCCCTTATCTCCACAGCCTAAGAAAGTCTGGATAGGACAAAGCAGTTAATGAAACACACAAGCCTTTCACATTTGGAAACCTGGACTCTGAAAAAGGAACTGAGGCAGCTCTGGACAACCTCAGGCAAGCCAGGTTTCCCCTTCTCTCCACCCAGTGAGATTAATGGCCTTACACAAAGCTATTTCTGTTCTACAGTGGAGTTACACCAGAAGACATAACTCCTTTTAAAAGCCCAATAATTATAGCAGGCTATCTAGTACGTATGGAAAACATGAGAGAGGCAACAATAGCCTTCCCAGACAATACACTGTACAACAGTTCAGCCCAGGATGGGGAGATGACAACAAAACAGTTTTACAGCAAAACACCAGTTGAAGAAAGAAACATCAGCATAGCATGGTCAGACAGTCACCTTTTCCTCAGGTACCACTGTAAAAGAGCTATGTTAAGGTACTGGAGTAGCGTTACTTAACTCCAACAAAACATTACAGGAACAAGATGGAGAAGAAAATAACATCACCACCTGACATTCACTAACATGAACCTATTTCACTGTCCACATCCTTTTGTACAGGGCAGAGAGTCTGATGCCTGGCACCAGCGAATTCAGTCTCTAACGTCCGAGTGCTTTTCCACTGGTGTGCAGATCTGTTTACACCATTGGCAGCCAGCCAAGAGAAATGGTCAGTACAGGAGCTGTTATAATGTTAATATTGTGCTTTGCATCTGGAGTGATGCCAGGTGGGCAAGAGCCTGAGCCTCTGAATATGCTGTATTAGTTATGTATTTTAGCAAATAAAAAAGGTTCTCAAAAGTCTGTGTGGAGCAGAAGGGAAGAGAATTCACATTGCACAATATTAGATATAGGGGTAAAAACAGAAATGCAGAAGTCAAAAAAAATCCTAGAGCGTCAAGAGGTAATTATGTAGGTGTCATTCATGTTGTAGCTCCTTGGCATACTTTTGTCAGCAATTTAAAGCCAATGTGTTTTTTAAGAGGAGCCAAGAAAAGATAAGCATTAATACAACAGGCATGCAAGCATCCTCAGCAGCAGGGAGGGCTCAGTAACAGAGAGAGTCTTTCCCAAGCTACTCACAGTACGCTGCACAATCCCACGTTTGAAATAGCCAAGCCTGTACCAGAAGCAAGTAACAGATCACAGGCAGGCAATTCTTCACCAGTGTGATCAAGGGTTTTCTGGCAGTGGGAGTACCTTTTCCTGCTCTGACTATTGCAATACAACAGAACCTGCAGTGGAGATTACAGAGGAGAGATGATCTGCTGATAAATCAGTGGCAACCTGCATCCAAGACACCATGAAAAATGGTACTGCCAACTCCCAGACTTTATCAAGGGGGCTTGCTGTTGCAATATGACACCTAACACTCAGCAAAGTGTTATTAGGGAAGACTAGTAACAACTCAGTGTTTGCTGGCCTCACAGTCCCTGCAGTTATTCTCATACGCTCCATCGATTCATTCTCTCTTCAGTTTAGCTACACAGAACCAGAGCTTTTAACAGCCCTCTAACAGGTGGTGTCACTTTTCCACTAGGCCTTCGTACTTTCACACTGGGTGTATTTTCTTACCAGTGTTGCCCAGAGGACAGCAAGACTTTCAATCCGATGGCTAACTGTTCAGGCTCTGTGTTTTCTCCTTTTACAAGGGTGGGCAACTTTTACATATTTGGTAGAGTGCATGCCCTGAAGAAGCAAACATATAAGTAGTTTCTGCGCTTTCTTACTAGGCTGCTTTTCAGAAGTTGTACTAAACTCCAGGAGTATCAGTTACGGTGAGAATCACTAGCCTTGTCTGAGCAAGGATAGTTTTGCTGATTGAACGGGAAGTTTCTAAGGACTCCTTGACAGAGCTGACATGGTGGCTGCCCCTTCTCACCTGCCTTAAGAGGACACCAATGAGCCCAGAATTTAGTTATAGGCAGACACAAAGCTGCTTCGTCTCATGCTGGAGATGGAAGCAGCATGAAGTGAAATCTGTTCTTTGAAACAGACTCTTAAAAAGGGACAGGTAGGGGAAGGAGTTGGGAGAGCTTTCATGTCAGGATGAGGACAAATGGGTGGTGGTAGCTGTTCAGACGTTATTAATAGCCATTGGCATCTCCTAGGTCTATAATTCAGTTTATCAAAGACAAGAGTGACATTGCTCATGACTGTGCCTGTGATGACAGAGGAAGTAAACATCAAGATCAGGCAGCAGCTGCTGTTTGAGGAAAGGGAAGCTCTCAGATTCATATTTAATGATCAAATTCCTGTTTTTTATGAGTTTCTTCTGTGGACAAGCACTTGGCACATCACTCTACCAGCAGCAGGGAAGAGCCTCAGAAGTTACTTCCATCAGGGAAAGGGGCACAGTGCAAGTGTGATGACTTCCGCTTGAACACCAACACTGAGCAACAACATAGCTGAGAAGCAGACACAGCCCAGCAATCCACAGTGATTTCCTTGAGGAAAACACCGTCACCTCCTTTCCAATCATCAAGCTCTACCATATTCACACCTCCTTGGAAACCAGTCACTCACGTTACGGTATACAAAGTGCCACACAAAACACAGAACAAAAGAAAAATACTCCTCTGATATCATCCATACTTTCCCAGACAACATTTCTGCTGGTTTCCCAGAAGCCTTCCCAAAACAGAAAGTGAGCAAAAGCCAAGACCATGACTGTGTTTCTATGGCCCATGTATTCTCTGATCAGATCACATCTCAACCTGAAGGCAGTGCAAGAAAAATAGTTGCTTGCCTCCACTACAACAACTGGCCTCAGACCTTCATCCCTCCTTCATAGAGCCCTCATGAGTGTTTGTACAATGGCAATGTTGTTTTTTTCAGTCTCCCCTTGTGAAAACCAATCATTTTTCTTTTCTCCATTACCCATCTCTCTCACACACACATTATCTAAGTCACAGTCCTCACTTTCTTTCACTATTTTTCATACTTTGTAGTCGAGATGCCTTCCATGGGTATCTGCGCCATCTTGTACGCTTTCTTTGACTTAAACAAGCCTTTGGGAAGAGTGATGGGATAAGGGGGGTATCGCTCCCTGTACTCCGACAGCATGCATGGCTTCTCACTCTTCTCATAAGGTCTGGTGGGCAGGTGTGGACAATGGTGACATCTGCAAGGGAAAAAAACAGCACAGGAGTTAGTGACTCACAGGTAGGATTAATAATACCTCCTTGTATAAGTCAGCTCCACCCTGCAAATACAAAATAGTGGATAAGTGAGTATTGCAATGACTGCTACAGCCTTGATTATTTAAAGTGCAAAAGCATAACCTGCACAAAGAAAGGGTTGTTTCTGTCTACTACTATAGCCTGCAGTCAAAAAAGTCCATGAAGCCAACAAAAACAGCCTAAGAAAAGCAAGTTCACCTAGATGAAGAAAAAAGCAAGTTAATCTGAGATACAGCCAAGTGTGCTATGTTGTGCTGGACTAGAAATTCTATTTAATGTCCCTTTTGTTCCATTTCTCATAAATTTATTATCCTACTTTGCCCACATATTGAGCTTACTTGTGTAGACAAGTGAACAAAAGGGTAACAGTTTGAGAGTCTCTATTCACTCACACTTGAGCAGCACTGCTCTGCCCATCTCTCTTTCTGAAAGCAATTCAGTCTGGGTACTGCAAGACCTCTCCATAATGTGCACCAAAACAAGGACAGTGAGGACAAACTGATTTTCTGAGGAAGCTCTTTCTTGACTGAAACTAAAACACCACCATGGATCGTCCATCATTGGTGACCTCCTTCTTTCCACACTGGGACCCACCCAGGGCAAGGCTCATCCTGTCAAAAAGAGGTTGGGATCCCACCCTCAGATTTCTTCCCAGAGACATAACAGTTTATGTCCCTTTCTGGTTTGAGTCAAACACATAGAATCAACGCGAAGGTTGCCGATTAAGGACTTCAGGAACAAGCCCACAGGAATAACAGTGAGAGGAGGAGGCCTCTGGGTTTATGTATCATACATCACTCCTGCCAAAATCTGAGTGTTCCCTACTGGATGTATGTTTTCCAGTGCTATCTCTAGTCCAGAGCTGAATTACTCATTTGAAAGAGCTTCTATACTTAACAAACTCCCCATTAAATTAAATGTTGAGCAATCTAGGATCAGTAGATGTCTGATTGATTACCTAAATTTATACAGATAACCTCTGGTCTACATTCAAGGGTAGACCTTCATATGCTGAATCTTTTTCCAAACAAGCACAATAGAGAAAGGCAGGCCCAGAGGGCTCAAATAAAATTCAGCATCTTTTTGACAAGCCAGTTTCTCACTCAGATTACAAATCCTTCTGTGAAATCATAAATCAGGAGGAATCCTAGTAGATTCGAGTTTGGACACAAAGGGAGTCCTTACAGGGAGTAAGGCAGACTATCCCTGTCAGTTAAAATATTAGAAGAAAAGACTTCAGGGTGGAAATCTAAAAAAAAAAAAAAAAAAAAAGTTTATTCTACCAGAAGTTAGCCTTATGCGTAACTAGGAGTTTATTTGCAGCTTTCATGTAACTGGAGGAGAGGCAAACAGGAAAATTAAAAAAAGATGAATATGCTCACTCTTGCTGGTCCATGTGACCTTGCTAAAATGGATTTTGTGACAAAAACCTTCCAAACACAGGCTGCACTGACACTTTCTGGCCACACTTGTGGTCTTCCAACATTCCTAGGAATTATTCCTCATTCTCTAAGGGAAAATGATCTGCCTATTCTTTCTGCTTCAAATCTACTGGCTTCACACCACCCCTAAGTGCACCTTCATCCCCCTACTCTCTTAAAGTCCATGACGCAGCAAGCTAGGCTTCAGCTTGGCTTTGGACTGTGTTGATGAGGCCCTTATGTTAGTTTTTTATGCTAAAACTGCACTCAGACTGGACTGGGGGAAATAGCTATACTACCTAGTTCATCATGGCCCTGCATACAGTGCAGACACTGGCCAGCAGTAGCATTTTGCAAATAAGGAATGGCTTATCAGAAGCAAATTAATGACACTTCACTAATACAATCAGTTAGTATCCCATTACAGCTCAGCTGCACGCACAGGGTTTGGAGGGATTCGCTTGTGACACCGGGTTTGTAGCAGTCCAGAGCAGAGGCTTTGTGCAGCTCCCTGCCCGTACCAGGCAGGCTCTCTGCTGCAGACACGTTATCCCACATGCTGATGGACATTTGCAAGACAGAGTCCCGCACCCGCCCAGCAGCACTGTTGGCACTGGGGAAGGTGAGGGGTCCTGCTGATCAGCAGGGCAAGGGTGGGTAATGCAGGTCCCCCTCCAAAGACCCCACAGGAGCAGGCAGGGAACAACAGCTTGTGGAACCTACGTTTTTCCCCTTGCAGACATTGCTGGCAGTGTGAAAACTGGGGGACTTCTCTACAGCTCAGGATGGGAAAAAGGCCAGGATCTCCTGCAGACAGCAGCAGTCCCAGACTGCCAAGCTCTTTGCCCTAGGTTGAAGATAAGCCTTCAGCATGATCTGGCAATACAGGTGGCTTTACACCTCAAGTATTCACCCACTCTTTGTGTATACAATTCTGCTTTCTTCGTTGAACTTCAGAGCAGATAACAACAACAGAATGAGTTAGCTCTTAGGAAAAGCACTTTCCCACAAATAAATCCTTCCTGACAGGGCAGAGGAGTAAACCTGAATGTTTTGCCTTCTGTTATTTAGCACTATATTGTGATGTATGCCCACAGATTTTACAGTAACACTCACTGTATTAGGCTATGAGCAGTAATGATCATCAGTGATAGTTCACCATCAATGTATGATACTATAAAGGCTTTGCTTCTGTATCCAGAGACATATTCCTGAAAATATTTTTTACTGGAGACTAATGTAAATAACAGAACAAGACTCTTAATGAGAAGTGGAACAATGCTAGACTTTGAGATTTGCTACACTTTACTACTCCTTCTGGCACGATAAATATTTATAAAACAACTACATGATTCTTCAGTGCTGAAGTCACTGCTATGTGACTGCAGCAAGTCAGCACATCAATGTCAGAGCTAAACAGTTAAAATTACTGTATAAACATTTTGATATTGCAGTTGTCAAATGGTGCCTTATTTTCTAAAAACTGATGAGACATAAATTTTGACATTTGTTATGCTTGTCTGCTTAGATATTGGGGTTTTTTAGTTAATTCTACTCTGATTTTCACTTGTGCAATTTACACTTTACTTGATTGAGGTCTACCAAGTTAGCCTGTCCAATATTAGTAATAACATATAACAACAAGGAAGCACATAGGGTTTTTTGTTTACTAAGAATTGTGGAAGAATAGCAGACTCTTTGAGGGTAAAAAGAATGCAGGTCCCCTGCCTTCAAGGGAGTTGGGTTCATCTAAACAGAAGCTGAGTTGAAACGTGAACAATTTATCAGCTTACATTAAATACTTGTTTAAACCAGGAAGGACGACCTGGAGCCACGGCTCAGGACCAGAATTCAGGATGTTTGAGTTCAATTTCTGCATTCACTACAGTCTCCCTGACCAGCACAGGTCTCTGTCAACTAAAGATAAAACATAGCCTTCTCCTGAGGAGAAAGAAGCGGAATCCTGTAAGATTTATGAATTTCTCAAGATAAGCCTCTCAGACTTATCTGATTTTTTAAATGCCTGTGATTAATAATAAAAGATTATCACAGTGGGCTTAAAATGCAGGTGGAATGGTAACAAAGTTGTACTATTAAAATCCTAATTTATTCCAGTTATATGGCTTACTGCTGGTAATTACTGTCCATAGAGGTCATGGATGCCATGGTATTACTGCTTGAGAGAAAAAACATGAGGCTCAGAAATAGCTGAACTGTCATTCAGGAAAATTTAATTTTCCCTTGTAAAATACACTAGTCCTCAGACCAACCCTCACAGGGAAAAGCAGTATCGCCTTGACCACATAATCTACTTCTTGTACCATCTCTAATTTCCATGAGTGGTCAGATCAAGTCAATATTATAGAAATCTCTAGTTTAGGTGGAATGATGATGCTGTCCAAAGAAAGATAGCGATGTAAAAATGTGCCAAAGGACTGGGGCAGGCTCGAATAGCAGGAACTGATTGCCAGCGGTCAGGCTACAAAGAAGATCACTGAAGGTGAGTCTTTATCCGTGCAAATCTCTTCTCTTCCAAGCGATGGAGATGCAATCAGAGGCCCAGCTACATGATCGAATTACAAAAGGATGGATGATGGATTAGATGTTTGTGAAGGGAAGAAGAGCATCCATGTGCAAAGTATCAAAGTATATCACATATAAATATTGAATATTAGGAAAATGAAAACACATTGTGGACAGGGCCATATGGAAAGTACAAGGTTCTGCTTTCAAATGGTGAAAGGTTTTGAAACAAAAAGTAAATGCACAATAAAAGCAAGAGATCCTTTGAGAGAAGTTTGAAGTCCTTGTGATCATAACAGTACAAAAAATATTAATCTGAAACCTTTGGAAGGTTAACTGTATTCTCACACAACTCAGAAAGTTTTTTCTTTGTGTCATATCAGAACACTGAACTCTGGATGCCAGACTTCACTTTTTCCCCAACACATACATTCACCAAATGCTAGAACAGATGGACCAGTAATCAGCTCAAAATGAATAAACATGACAGTGGAGAAAGAGAGGTTTGACACATTTGCATGCACACAGTCTTCATTGTGATTTCGGGCAAAAGTTTAAAAACTTTTAGAAACATATATTTGTAGATGTACAGTGCTCATCAGTGCCAAAAGAATGAAATATACGATTGCTTGGTCTTCCAAATTCACCCACATCAGAATGCCACCACTGGGAATCCAGGGCAGCTGGAAGGAGGACAGTACCCTGGAAGAGGACAAAACCCTGGGGTTCGCTATTACATGTCATTGTGGTTGTGTCCCTTTCAAAAGCTGCACAAAGTCATCATGGTCATCCTTTTTTAGTGACCTAGTGAACTCTGAGCGAGGCTCTGTATTAAGCTCACTGTACTCCTCATGGCCACTCTTGGCTTTATTCACACTTTTTATCTTGTTTTCCACATCTGCAACCAAGAAAAGAAAATCTTTCATATAATCTTCCTATTAATCTCATCTCAAATATCCTTCAATGAACAAGAATTGTGCTGTTTCTTCACACTGTCATTAATACAATTTTAGGTACTACCAATACAGTTCAGAGGGCTTTGTTGACTTATCGGTACTTCAGTACCTGAAGGTTCACAAGAGATAATTTGCAGAAATAAGTACTATCTTCCTACCTCTTTCATACAAGTCCTCCTTGAAATAATGTAAGCAAAGATTAATATTGACTCATAAAACAAAAAGTATAGCAAGTAGAAAGGAAGTCTTAAAGATCCCGACTGTCATTAACCCAAACAACAACTGTGCAAAACCAGGCAATCATGCAGACTGAGTAACTTTTATGTTGTCAGAGTTCACTCATCCTAGCTAAACAGAGCAAACAATGGAGAAACCAATGCCAAAATTCAGTTTCAGGGGTCCCAGGAGTGGTCATGGTGAGAGCACACACTAAATGTTTGTGGCTGCGTTACTTTTGGCAGGCTGACCCAAGACATTAACAAAAGAAAAGTCCAAACAGTCCAATAACTTTAGTAAATTATTTGTGGAAACAGTATCCTTTGAAATTGGAATATGCTTTTGACAGGAAACAGGTAGATATCTATGTCCAGGGATACTAAATTTGGGTGGTAATGGGTTTAACTTTCACAAAATGAATACAGCAATTTATCTGTGCCCTCCAACTGAGAACAAAGTTTCATAACCCTCTCCCCCAAGAGAGCAGTCAAAGTGTAATTAGACCTGTCATGAAGTACTATAATGCCATCCTCACTGCAAGCCTGAGAGCTCTCAGACTTCAGCACATTAACACAATCCCTGCAGATCACATTTTACACAAACCCATTATGATGGATTTTGTGACTTACTAAAGCAAGATCGAGTGAGGTCTGTCCTTGTGCATGCATACTCACTGCACCTAACCAGCAGTGATGGAGCAAATACCAATTTCTTTTACATCTTAGCTTGTATAGCACTACCATAGATCAAGTAGAGGTGCACACTTGATATTTATCTGAAATGAGACAGAAAGCTAGAAAGGTATTTCAGGTAACTAAAAAACTAAGAGATTTACATATCAGTCCTTGTAGAATTCATCTGTAAGCCACAAAGATTAACCAGTTTGAGTAGACAATGTTGCTTCTGTATGTGAAACAAGGTGCTTGAACATTTAATGTCAATAATGTTACTGCAGACAGATCCAACAAGCTATACATGTGCTTAGGATGCAGACAAGGTCAGTAAACCCTGACTGGGATGAAGAGGGCAGAGACAACACAGTGACAACTTATCCATTCTAGTGCTGAATGGCTCAACCACATTAAAGGCTTGCAGGGCTATTAAGGGCTGGAAAACACCACCTTTAAAAGAATGATCATTCCATAGGGAGGCATTGAATAAAGGCAACATCCCTTCTAGACTGATGACTATCAAGAGCTGATTGTACAGATGACAGGCATCACTAGATGTTATGTTTTGTGCTTGCACATTAACACTATACAGGAACAAACTTCATGCAAATAACTACATTAGAAGCTTGGAGAGATTCAGAAAAACTTGTTGATTTAGATACCACCTAGGCTGCAAGACTGGTGGCCAAAAGAAAGACTGCAATTAAGGGCATCAGAAAAAGGAATGAAGGAATGAATGAGTACCGGAGACATCATGGTACATCTGGTGTGCCTGCTGAAATGATAGGGAATGAATTACATAGATTAATTATGCCATCCTTCCTCACTCTGAAATATACTGATCATATAATATCTCAGGTGTCAGTAATATAGTACATCTAGAGTGAAGAATGATTTAGTGTAAAACAATCATCAGGTTCTTCTGGACAGATGGCTACCAGTCCTTGCAGAGAGGATGGAGGATTAGAAAAATCAAGTACACCCACACATGTTGAGGTCAGGAATGGCAAACAGTAACACACATATGAGTGAATTAATTGCCTTCTGGCTGCAGACAGGAAACAAAGACAGGCACCTATTCCCCTGTGCTGCCCATTCCTTGTTTGTTCAAAAGTCCAGGATACGGCAATGTTATGCGAAAAAATGGAAAACATGCACCCTCATGAAGGAGCTGTTGAACTAAAGTTTATTCTGTATCAGTACTCATAAACATGTGAGATCTTAAATGGAGAGATTGTTCTTTTACAAATGTGAAGCAAAAGCAAATCCCTCAATCCAAGCTCCCCAATTCTGAACCCCCCTGGACTTTCACTTTGGATACAGATGTCATGTTTGGCCTCTACATAATAAGGAGCTGGGGCAAAATCTTGGCTATCTAAGCATCACAAAGATTTAAGAAAATTTAGATTTAATTCAAATGTTGAGGGCTTCAGTTCTAAATAGAGAAATCTGTTAGACTTTTCTGAATTGCTCCTATTCCAGCTAATGGTTTGCTGTATATACTCAGATGAAGGAAAGTACAGTCCAGCTGACTGATAGGGAGAAAAAAGAAGTAGAGAAATGATGGAGAGTGCGGAAACATCTGTGAAAACTGAAAGGAACCTAAGCTATCTAACAAAGTGCACAAGTTTCTCAATAATGAGGTCCAAAGTTGCTCTCGAGACTTCACACCATTGCAAAACATGGGTAAGTCCAGAAAGTCATCTAAGGCATGACAGCACCATAGAAACTGGTTGACAGAGTCCTTTGGGAGGCATTAAGGGCAAAGGAGTCTAGGAAGGCTGGACATTCTTCAAGAAGGAAATCTTAAAGGCGCAGGAGGAGGCCATCCCCACGTGCCGAAAGATGAGCCGGTGGGGAAGAAGACCGAACAGAGAGTTCGGGCTGAAGAGAGAGCTTTGGCTAGAATGCAGGAAAAAAAAGAGAGTTTATGACCTTTGGGAGAAGGGGCAGGCAACTCAGGAGGACTACAAGGATGTCGTGAGATTACGCAGGGAGAAAATTAGAAGGGCCAAAGCCCAACTAGAACTTAATCTGGCTACTGCCATAAAAGACAATAAAAAATGTTTTTTTACATTAGCAACAAAAGGAGGGCTAAGGAGAATCTCCATCCTTTATTGGATGCGGGGGGAAACATAGTGACAAAGGATGAGGAAAAGGCTGAGGTACTTAATGCCTTCTTTGCCTCAGTCGTTAGTAAGACCAGTTGTTCTCAGGGCACCCAGCCCCCTGAGCTGGGAGACAGGGACGGGGAGCAGAATGAAGCCCCCATAATCCAAGGGGAAATGGTTAACGACCTGCTACACCATTGAGACACAAACAAGTCTATGGGGCTGGATGGGACTGTACCTCCCTCAGACTGTACCCACCCAAGGGTACTGAGGGAGCTGGCAGAAGTGCTCAGCAAACCACTTTCAATCGGTTATCAGCAGTCCTGTCTAATCGGCGAGGTCCCAGTTGACTGGAGGTTAGCAAATGTGACACCCATCTACAAAAAGGGCTGGAAGGAGGATCCGGGGAACTACAGGCCTGTCAGCCTGACCTCAGTGCCAGGGAAGGTTATGGAGCAGATCATCTTGAGTGCCATCACACGGCACGTACAGGACAACCAAGTCATCAGGCCCAGTCAGCATGGATTTATGAAAGGCAGGTCCTGCTTGACCAACCTGATCTCCTTCTATGACAAGGTGACCCGCTTAGTGGATGAGGAAAAGGCTGTGGAGGTTGTTTACCAGGACTTTAGTAAAGCCTTTGACACCATTTCCGACAGCATTCTCCTAGAGAAACTGGCGGCTCATGGCTTGGACAGATGCACTCTGCTGGGTAAAAAATTGGCTGGACGGCCAGTTTTGGGGCCGGTCTTGTTCAATATCTTCATCAATGATCTGGATGAGGGGATCGAGTGCACCCTCAGTAAGTTTGTAGACGACACCAAGTTGGGCGGGAGTGTTGATCTGCTTGAGGGTAGGAAGGCTCTGCAGAGGGACCTGGACAGGCTGGATCGATGGGCCAAGGCCAACTGTATGAGATTCAACAAGGCCAAGTGCCGGGTCCTGCACTTCGGCCACAACAACCCCATGCAGCGCTACAGGCTTGGGGAAGAGTGGCTGGAAAGCTGCCTGGCGGAAAAGGACCTGGGGGTGTTGGTCGACAGCCGGCTGAACATGAGCCGGCAGTGTGCCC